TGTTTCAGCCTTCAAAAGAGAAGGCTGAGGGGGGATCTTGTGCCCGTTATAAACTGGTTAGGGGGGATCAGCAGGCGCTGGGGGAGTCCCTGTTCCCCTGAGCACGGCAAGGAGTGACCAGGAACAACGGTCACAAGCTGGCGGAGGGAAGGTTTAAGTTGGACATCAGGAGGCACTACTTCACGGTCAGGGCGGCTAGGGTCTGGAACCAGCTTCCAAGTGAGGTGGTGCAGGCTCCCACCCTGGGGGTTTTTAAGAGGAGGTTGGATGACCACCTTACTGGGGTCGTTTGACCCCAGTACTCTTTCCTGCCATGGCAGGGGGTCGGACTAGATGATCTGCTCAGGTCCCTTCCGACCCTAGAAACTATGAAACTATGAACATGGGAAGAGACAAAGCTACCTAGTTTGGCAGCACAGTGAGATGGTACCATATTTTCTTGCATGCTCCCATGTAAGACATGCACCTTGTTTTGGGAAGGCAGAATAAGGAAAAGAGAATCTTACCTGCCATAGCATGGGTTTGTAATGGCTGAATGCTGGCAGTATACAAGAAGGGCAGAGTCCCATGGTCAACACCACTTAACCTCTAGCTGCAGCTGGACAGCTCATAGTTTGAACGATGATGGAGTTGATGAAGGAATCTGCCTTGAAACAAATAGCTATGCAGAAAGAATTTCAAAAATTGATAGTGAGAAAATATGTTGGAGCATGTGAAAAAGAACTTACAAATTATGTTCTCCAAATGCAGGTTTTTTTGCTTGGGCAGTGGCTGTGACAGAATTAAACTTAAAGCTGATGACAGGACTCCATCTCTCCTGCAGCAGAAGGGAGCAGAGTCCTTTAGCCATTCCAGTGTCTCCATGCCTCCATTCCACCTTGGAAATTTTCTTCATCACTTGAAACATGCATGCCATTTCTAGAGGGTGAATTTGGGTGGAATGTGTGGTATGCGAGTAAAACCAGTTTGTAGGAAGACATATTATTATCTTAGTTATCAGAAGTGTGTGTGCGCGTGTGTGTATGACCCTAAACTTGCTCTTCCATTATCTTACTCTCCTCCCTCTTCTCTACATTTCAGTTCTAAAGAGAATTTAGCATACTTCAAGCTCATTCTTTTTTGTTCCTGAATGTAAGAGAAAAGTTTCTTCCTGTAAAGCTTCAGGTGATGGTTGTGCCCATCTGTCAAAAGACATTACGTTTAAGGGACAGGGCAGTGTGTTAAAAGAAATTAAATCTGTGATTATGTGCAAGCACTGTCAGCTTTGTGTCCTTTCTGCTTATATAAGGGAAGCTCCCTGGTTTCTTAGCAGTCGTACTGGAAGGCTTCAGATGTTCAGGGCCTCTACAGCTATAAGTTATGGTTTCTGACTATCACAAGAACTAAGATGTGAAATACTCATTCCACCAAAGCTGACAACAGAACTATCAAACTGCTGTGTTTTCACACTTAAGCTCCTGAGATGAACTTAAGTAGTCATACTTCTCAAATGATGCCCATAGGCTGCTGGATGGCACTTTCTCCCTTTTAGTGTTTCCTTCCTGTCAAAATGCCAATAGGAGAAAGTTATTTAAATTAAATTAAGAGTTCACTGAAGATGTGATAGTGTTGTCAGTTTTTGTCATTTTGGAAAATCAGGATTTTTTTTAAAAAGGTGAGAAGCAAACAAGCATAAATATCAGAATATTCAGGGGACAGGTTAAATTTATTGACTCGTATCAGTTCTGGAGAGTAATGCATCTGATCCTGGAAATTGGTGTATCTGCAGCTTCCCAAAGCCTCCAAGTGTCTTTAGGTATCTTGAGATTCTCACTGAACTAATCTTGTTTTCTATCCTATGGCCTAGTTTCAGGGGCTCTAACATGGCAATGTTATTGCTCACGTCTGCTTCTATGATAGAGAACATCTGGAAAAGGGGAGTTCATATGTATACACTACATAAAATTTGAAGTAACATGAAATCTGTTTTTTGTAAAGCTGTACAGCTATGACACCATTTTAAATTAAAGAAAATTTGGACCAGGTATTGGTTGAAAAAGTTTGTGCTCCTTTTTTTGAGAGTCTGTGTGATATTTACGTTTTCCCACCTGCAGTTGTTTCCTAAAACATGGCCTTTCAACTCTTATCTAACAGGAAATTTGCTTTCTCAGATTTGAAACATTTATTTGAACCTTCTTCTACATTTTTAAAACCTGTTATAAAATTACAGAAGAATTTAATTAAGTTGAAATTTGTGTGGATATGGGACAAGATATATGTCCAGTTTCTTACAACATTATGCAGTTAAGAAAGACGCTTTCAAAAAAATTAAGAATTATATTTGTGTCAAATATAAAAACAAGATCCAAATCACTACTGGATATGCAGCTGTTTGCCATGTCTCCATTTAGAAATGTGAATTGTTGTTTGACTGCAGTAAGTCAGTTTTCCTGAAGTAGGAAGTATAAGTTGATGGTTATTATGTAATGAATGTTTTCAAAATTATTTTTTTTTCCATTAGATAACCCAAGAAGACATTAAAAAGACGTACGGTGGATCATCTGGAAGCAGAGGCTATTATTCCAGTGCTTTTGCTAGGTTAGTAATACACTATTGTTCATTCTTTTTTCAATATTGGAATGTTCTAACCAACCTGAGTAGCCAGTATATTTTGATTGCCTGTTTATAGTAAAAAATAACATAGTTTACATCAAGTAGTTGTAAAACAGTTCTGGAGGGAAAATTTCAAATATTTTAGTAATAGTAGGAATGCTGTAATTGAAAAAACATTGGGGATCATTTTATACTTAACACAGGGGTGGGCAATTATTTTGGGTGGAGGGTTGCTTAATGAGTTTTGGTGAGCTGTTGAGGGCTGCAAGGGTAGCCCCACCCCTTGACAGGTGCCCTGCTCCCTGCTTGCAGTCTTAGGACCAGAAGTCCTGCCCCCTAGCCCCTGACCTTTGCTCCTGGAAGTCCCTCCCCTTGCCCCTGGAAGTATTGGGGGGTGCCATCTTGGGACCAGAAAAAAACAAATCACAGTGGCAGCAGGAGCAGGCAACAAGCATTTAAGGCACTCGTTCCTCATGCAGGTGCTGCCACCCAGCAGCACACAGCTCCAGCCAGAGCTACATGTGGCAGCGAGGAACTCAGCCAGGGCTGTCTCCCCACGGTGCACACATAGCTCCTGGCACTTACGCACCACCAGGAGAAGTCCTGTGTGCTGGATCCAGCTGTCTTCCCCACTCCCTGCCACCATGTGCAGGTCCTGGGACTGCTGGGAAGCAGAGGCCAGAGCAGGCAGACAGATGGCTCCAGCGTACAGGGCTTGCCCTGGTGATTCACGAGTGCTGGGAGCTACACATGCACACTGCATGATAGAGGTGGGCTAGCCTGGCTGTGCTTCTTGCTGCCACATGCAGCTCTGGCTGGAGCCACACACCACCAGGCAGCAGTGTCTGCATGCGCCACAAGCTCCCTGAGAGCTTGGCGACTGCTGCTGCCTCCATGGAGGAGTATGGGGGGGTTAGGGTTGCACTCACACCAACACACTGTCCACCTGAGCTCCACATTCCCACCGCCCCCACTGGGCACATGCTCTATGCTCCCATAGGCCCCAGCCTCATACTTCATGCCACTGTCCAGCTGCAGCTCCCCTTCTCCTTCCTCCCCTCCGCTGCTTCCCTACGTGTTGCAGCAGAGAGACAAGGAGGAGCCACTGGACGCCGGGGAAGCCAAGCAGGTCCCTCAGCGGCAGCAGCAGTGGCAGCAGCAGCCCTGCCTGGCAGCTGTGCATGGTGACTGAGCTGTGCCCTTCTGCCCACAAGGGTGGGAGCAAGGCACATGGGTTAGGTGGAGTACAGTTAATTGGTGGGCACCCAGGGGCCAGATGAAATTGCCTAGCAGGCCTCATCCAGTCCAAAGGCCGTATTTTGCCCACCCCTGAGTTAACACACTATTGCACAATACCACAAGTGTTCTTTATTGTTAAAAAGAACTTTAATGAAAATTTTGACTATGACTTCCAAGTCAGATACTGACTGCTCTTAAAAAAAAAAAATATTTCCCCTCTAGCTCCACGAATGCGTACATGCTTATATATAGACTGAAGGATCCAACAAGAAATGCAAGTAAGTGTGTTTTATAGTTCTCAACTAAAAGTGTTGGGTTGGGGGGGGGGGGGGGGGTGG